TCACGAGAGGGGGGAAGGTGTATTGTATATTATCACGTGTATAATATTTATTTTTTACCTGATTTTTTTACCATTTTCAAACAAATCCAAAAATTTTACAATCTTTTCTCGTAACTAAAAATACACTTGAAGTTTGGTGGGGGTGTTAATTTTGAATATCACCACGTATCATCAAGAAAAGGAGGGAAAATCCAAAAATCCATAAAAAATCGGTCACGTGATTAATGTACGTCCCCCCTCACGATGCAGTTAATGAATAACAGAATAATGATGAAATTGATTGACCAGTTAATGATTTGCATTTATTGATTTTGCACCAAGATGTAACAGAAGCTTTTGCTTCTAATGCAACTTCTAATTTTTATATTATATCACTTTAATTATGTTTAAATTAGACAAAATTTGCTCATTTAGATTCATTTTTATAGTCTCTCTACGAGGTGAATCTCTCGCCAAAGAAAACCACATACGAGATTTTGAGTTGTAAATTTCATAATCATAATACAAGATTTTAGAAAAATAGAATTTAAAATAAAATTTTCAACTTAATTTGTAATAAAAAGCTGATCCAATAATCTTATTATTCGAAAAGAAAGTTACTGTAACTAAAAGCTAAATGAATGCCCAGTAAGTCTTTGAATTTCAAATATATATCATAAACCTCATCGTAATTCGTTGAAAATTCATCAACAAGTTACAAATTATCATATTGAATATCAATATTTATATTTTCCAAAACATAATAAGTTGATTAAATACTACTAAAAATATGCGCAAAATACAAACTTTATTATTACTATTATTATCACTGGTGCTTTGGTCATCCTTGTAATTTTTTGAATGAAATTAATTTCACAATTATCGTAGTAGTTAATTAAATAATTAAGCCCAGGCCAGTTACAAATTGAAATTAAGATCGATATTAATTTTTCCTAAACGATGGTGATATTCTGATGAATTAATTACTGTTCAAGCAGATGGACAAAGTATGTAATTTGTTATTATCATTATTAATAAAAATAATGCACTAGTCATTCTTATAGTATTTTTAATTTCGAATGCATTTTACAATTCTCGTCTTAATTAATACAGAAATGTATATTTAATACCAGAATTACTACAAACAGAGCTTTGATAAAAATATTAGTATTAACTAAAAGATAAAACCAATTGCATCTTTTATTATTATTATTATTAGTGTTGAAATTATTCCTATACTACCCTCGCAATTTTTTTAAATTTAGAATATATAACACAATTTTGCACATTTGGCTCGGTATTTCCAAAACGGCTGGACCTGCCCCCGCCAAAAACTAATCACCACTTCTCTCCGTCATTACGAATTGAATGTTTTTTGAATCATTCAATACGATGCTCCGTTCTCTCAAAAACTTGGTTTCTATTTTCAACACTCTTTGCTCCGTATCTCCGAAACGGCAGGATCTACCTTTGCCAAGAACTTATCAGTACATCTCCCTATCAATAGAAATCGAATATTTTTAACCATTCAAATCGGTTGATCTGTACGCCCGAAAACGTGGACGATAAAATGCGGACACACAAAACACATTTTTTCTGATGTATGTCAAACAAAATGTTCAGAAACCTTCAAAACGTGAAGATATGCAAAAATTTTCATTTTCGATTTTCGGCCCATTACTATGACTACCCCACGCGAAGTTAAAAAGCATTGAAAGGCAAACAGATATTATTTCAGATTGATTCTTGATATTCGCATTTCCTAAAAAGTGAAGCATATTACGACTTGCATGATTATCGTTATTGGTGTTCTGGACATCTACGTTTCGAACAAATTTAACCTCGTCCTCATCGTAATTAATTGAAAAATGCATTTTTAAGGCCAGAACAGTTACAAATTCATACTCGTTAACTGCATATAATTTATAACGGCATAGAAGTTCCTTAACGATTCTGTTTGCTCAAAGTCAGTTATGTAAGCCAAAGTAAGAAACAAGTACACAATATCGCGCCTCACAACAAACGATATATTTTAGTAAAACGGCAAACAAGAATCGGAGTTCTCGTTTGTGCAAACAGAAATTAACTGATAGGTCGATAACTACAAATTCATTAGCGCTTACGGACACTCCCGGCGGAGAAGAATACAGTTACATTCTCAAATAAAGATCCGTTTTCTCCACACGAAAGTTTATAACGATATTTAATACATAAATTACAAACATCGAAAGCCCTTTTGTAGTTTTAGACCGCTGCATATAAATACAAACTAGTGGTGCATGGCATCGTGCCTTAAGGCAAATTGCTGCAACTTCCCGTACCAGAATTAAATATTCGAGAAAAAAATTCAGTAATCAATAAATATTGATCAATGATTAATAACAATTATCTTAAACATTTTCAATTAGATAATTATAATCACTATTTTATCGTTCATAAAATATACAGTGACGATCTTATCGCTCAAACTTGAGAAAGTTTACATTAACAAGAGGTGTCGAATAAATCCATCTGAGGATATATTTCTTACGATTAGAATAACGCTTTTGAAATATATACACTTTCAAATTGAATTGTAAATTTAAAATTCATTTTTGAAAATTTTGAAAAAAAAAATTTCTGAAAATTTTGAAATTAGCTTGATCTGTATAAGTAAAATTTAAAAATTAACAATCTCGGTATGGAACCCAACAAAATGGAACAAAATTAGAACTCATTTTTTTAAATTTTATCAAATATCTGATAATTTGATGTGCATATGTCTAGTGATCATTTTTGACCGCCAAATATCATTTTTTCTTACTTTTTCCTCTGTATCTCCAAAACCGCTAGACCTGCCTTACCAGAAATTTCATCAATTCTTCATTTCGTTAATACAAATAGCATGTTTTTTGAATCATTCAAATCGGGTACTCCGAACTCTCAAAAATTGAATTACCGTTTTTGGCACTTTTTGCCCCGTATCTTCAAAACGACTGGACCTGTCTCCACCAAAATCTAATCAGCACGTCTTCTCATCAGTAGTCGAATGTTTTTTTAATCATTCAAATCGGTTGATTTGTGCGCCCGAAATTGAGGACGAAAAATTGTATCCAAACATGCCAAAATGTTCAGAAACCTTCAAAACGTGAAGATATAATAATCAGTATCCAATTAATTAGAATTGCCATCAATTATACTATATTTTCCATACGAAGTAAGTTCTTGATTGGTCAAACTATTGTCAATACAAATTATATTTAATAAAGTTTGGGGTTTGGTATTGTCTATGATGCCATTCATAGACCACATTCTTACACATTGACCACATAATGCATTGGTCATTTTTGGGCTTCTCTAGAAATCTTCTAGAAACCTTACATGGTAAAACGTTAGCCGGGTCAGCTAGTATATAATAATAATAATAATACGTTGTATGATTGAATGCTTGCATTCGTAATGCATGTACACATATTCGCAAAATTAAATTTTATTTATTAAATTAAATTTAGCAGAAATTACCGGAATTATTTGTGGTTTAAGACATAGGATCTTCAACCTTACCACCACAAGATTGCAGATTCTATTGTATCCTCGGGCAACCTGATATCAAGTACTAGTAATATCAGTTTCATTTGGCAATACAAGTATAGATCTTAATATGAGTTCAAATGAAAATAGCTTTTCGGGGTATTGCTGAAATATAAATCATGTTATTATAGATATATTCAATAATAATCTCGTTACAAAGAGAATGGACAACCTATGGATTGTCTTCTAACAATTCAAGATTGCTGTTCATCAAAAAAATAAAAAATAGATTTCTTTTCTTCTGTTAAAAGAATCTTTCTTCAGTGCTGGCATTGCCAGGTCAATGTTAAAATTTTAAAGTATTTTATACTTAATATTTTAGTCTCTCTGCCTAACAGTGTGTGTCTATGCCCTATCTATCAAAAAACATATATCCAACGCCGGGAAAATTTGGAAAACGGTTAGGTATTTCCCCTAAAAGGTTTTCGCATATTTCGATTGAAACTAAATGGTAGGGGTTGGCCACACTAAAGGTTTTTTAATTTTTTTATAATGCCTATATAAAAAACATACGTGACCCTAAATTTTCATCCTCTCATAACAAACCCCTACTTTGTGAGTATGATTATAGTAATTACATTATTGAAATTTTCATCGATTTCTGTTAGTGAAAGTTTTTGACTGACAATAAAATATATATTTAGTTATAATATATTATTGTCGATGTGTAAGATAGGGTTATCCATAATCCATAGTATTAAGACACTATAACTTTTAATAACGCCTTTATAATTATTTTATTTTATTTAAGATTCTCCAACCGAGCGGATACTTGAATAATGAAGAATCAAATTTGAATAGTTTAAACATTTTTTTATTAAAATTCCACTCATTAGGAAAAATTATCACAGAACTTCTCATATCGATCTGTGTAGTTGCACAATATGAATGATAATAATTATAACAAAATGATGTAATAATTAATATCTGAACGTGTCTATGGCGCATTTTTTTAAGGTTTTATGCCACCTGTATTTGCTTTTGAAATAATGCAACAGCAAAAACATCTGACGGAAATGCATATACAGACATATATTTTGTCTAGTACACATATATTATTCATTATATATTCACCAGATATTAAACACCAATTAGTACGCAATACAAAATTAAATATTGCACAAAAAATTAATATAACTAACTTGGATTGAGATAATTTCTACATCACTGGAAAAAATGTCTACACGTGGTTATAAATCTAAGACGGTCAAATAAATAAAACATTTTAATAAGAATCAATTCTCCATAAAATAAAACATAAGTAATGAACAAAAATTAATCCACGACTCAAATCACATTTGCCATAGAAATCATACACACCGTAAACAAATAAGCATCATTTTATTTTTTATACATTTTATAATAAAAATATTTTTGATACCTACATATTTTTAAATACTAATTAAATTTATAAAAATATTTTAAATCAAAAATTTACTCTTCTGAACCTGAATCTATTGTCTGTGAGGCTCACATTATATTAACTTTTATTTTTGGATTCCCGGAAAATTTTTGACGCTGCCCATTCTAGGTAAAGGAAATATATTTAAAGTATTGTATTAGTTAAATCTATATCTAATAACAATAATTATGTGTTGAATAGATATATTATTCACATTGCTGCATTGAATTTTCACTATTTATTTAGATGTGAATAATAACTGAGTCGCTATATTTCACATTGAAAAATTTTGAAAACTTAATTATTTAAATTTATTATGGTTTTAGTTTTTAACTCAACTGACTTTAACCATCTATTCAGATAAACTTCAAATAGCACTCAATTTGAATGAATAAATGAAAAAAAAATATTTCGAAACCGAAAGTGTCAATATTAATTAATTTAATAGATTATTAATATTGAGTATATTATTAATTATTTAATAATATATAATTATTATTAATATTTTTACAGTACCCTCACAATTCACAATGGAGGCCAAAGCAGAAGAACAACTAAATAATCCAAACCCATCGCAGGAACAGTCCATTAAGCCTGGTGAAGAAAAAGTTAGCCATTACAAAAGCATCAGGCGGGATAGAGAGTTCCTGGGTAATATTAAAAAACAATTACAAATATATCATTTATAAAATATAAATTTATATTATACTTACAATTTTGGGTCATCCTGACGATTACTTTGTCCAACTGCTTCTCCACTAACATATAAACATTAAATGAGACTATTAATTATGTGATGATTAATTAAAGATTGAACATAAATTATACGATTGACAATTGGGGTTTTAAAGCCAATGTCAAGATTTTAGATCAAATTTATGAATTCTTTTGTTTTTCTTCGCGTAATCAAAATATTCTTCATTATATACCCGATGAACATAATCATGGTTTTGATATTTAAGTTTATTTATTAGTAATTGTAGCGTAATTTGTCCTAAGATTTTGTATAAAAATTTTATCTCACTAAAATTATACAAATATGTTCAATTTAGATATTACATTTATCGCTATGTGTATTTATTTTTCATGTGTACTAAAAATTTCAATGAAAGTTCAGAAATGAATTAAATTTAATATTCATATAGCTACAAGATTTAAAATATTATGTGCGAGCTGATAAATTTATTTTAACAAATGTGAAAGTTAAGTATAAAATCTTAATTTAAGATACTTTCAAACTTCAAACTTTTTTGTAAACGTATCAAGAACAAAACATTTTAATAATAATGCTTAATAAAACAAAGATGAGTTAAATCCTACTAAATTTCACAAAATTGAACTGATGATACTTCATATTACTGATAATACATTCCTGTAAATTTATAACAAATATTTCGATATATCAGAAATACAGAAAATGAAAAAATAGTAATAATGAGGGACGAAAAAAAATAAAGTAAACTAGTGGTGTATGGCATCGTACCTTAAGGTGAATAATGTAAACTTTCCGTACTTTAATAAAATATTCGAAGAATAAAATTTAGTAAAAAACTATTTTTTGGAAATTAAAAAAAAATTCTTTTCCCGAAAGCAATCGTTTCGTCAACACAAGCAGCAATTATTCAAGTCAGATGCTTAGTTCTCTCAAAAACTGGCATTTTTGCATATTTAGCTTCGTATCTCCAAAACGGCTAGACCTTTTGCCAAAATCTAACTACCATTTCTCCCCATCATTACAAATTGAATATTTGTTTGGAAATTCAAATCAGGTACTTCGTTCTCTCAAAAACACGATATCTAATGTCTGCACTCTTTGTTCCGTATCTCCGAAACGGCTAGACCCGCCTTTGTCAAAAACTAATCAGGACATTTCTCTATCAATAGGAACTGAATATTATTTCAACCATTCAAATCGGTTGATCTGTGCGCCCGAAAACGTAGACCTCCAAAACGTGAAGATATGCAAATATCCTATTTTTAATATCGATTTTTGGACAATTACAATAACTTACACTACGGGAAGTTAATTAGTAATGTAAATATTTTTTTACTATTTCCAATTCCGATAATTAACATTTCTCCACAAGTTTTTATTTCCAATAATATTTTCGTTAAAATATTATGATCAAAATAAGAACAAATTATATTCACATTTTACATAAGTTACAAACATTAATATTTATTTCAGGTTATGACAAAGCCGATAAAATGACCCGGCGCGTTATCGCGCCTTACCTTCACGTTGTGAGACGAGGAACCGCGGCACAACCGGAAAAGAAGGTCGCAATATATGGAAAGACTTTCCAAGAAATGCTTCGAAAAAAACCTAGTGTTTTAATAAAAGATCTTTCGGAGTATTTATCAGACTTCGTCGACCTGCCTGCACTTCTGCATGACACGGCTGATCTTCTCAAGTTTGTGACAAATAGTACAGGTAATAATTGAATTTGTAAAAAAATATTCATAAAATTTTTAATCTACTATTAAAAATTTCTCCAATAGAAAACGCAGCCCTTTATTTAGAATTCAAAATCATTATGTCAACATTTATAAATTATTGATGTTTGTTCTATTAAAAAAATATTATTACAATTTTCAATTAATTTCTGGTACATAGAGTATTGTACTCTATATAATGCTGTATTAGAATTGCAATGTTGATATGCAAGTATCATTTTTAAAAATCTGATTTGTAAATTATTATATTGCTTGCTTTTTAGGTGTCGTAGTATATATGGTTGATAAATTCACCAAAGAAATTTATCAAAGTCCGAAATATTTACTAAACAACAAAAGGCACAGAATTTCCTGGAAAATAGGTAACGTTTCTATAATTTGGAAGTAGAAGATTTTGACTTGATTAATAAACCTTTAAATTGCATTTTATGCTATACGACTTTGAGCTATAAACAATAAGTTAAAATCAATATTATATGGGATATGAAATATATGGGATAACGTAGTACCTACTTGCTTTTAAAAATTTTTGTGTCCGATAAATTGAAATAAATACATTTATATTTGAAGTATTGTAGAGTTTGGTTAGAAAAATCATATAAAATAAATTCAACAACAAAATAATAAAGTTGTATTTATACGATAATCATCAATAAGACAGATGCTGATGGATCTCATGAGTGAAAACACAATTTACTTTTCTGTCTTAAATAAGCCTGCATAGACGTTGAAAGTCTAAAACAATAATAATTATTTTGATATCTTATCGAATTCAATATTTGGTTTTTCTTTAATAGAAAGAGGTAAAACAATAGCGGCATTTGTGGCAGCCACCAGAAATTTTATCATGACGAATGATGTTTTGGGAGATGAGCGTTTTCCCGAAGGAGTAGGATGGAAAGGACCTACAGTCAAAGCTGTTCTTTGTGTCCCAATCTTAACCCAGGAAGATGAATGTTTTGCTATTGTTGAACTCTACAAAGAATCTGAAGAAGTGTATGACGATGTAAGAAATTGTAAATGGAATAACATATCTTAAAATATCATACACCAAATATCTTTCCTTGCAATGATCATTTCAAAATGAAACAACCTTTTATACCGTTAGTTTAAATCATAACTTTTTTACGATTAAGATATATCAATATATATATAAACTCATTTAATTTTTTTTTTTAAGAGAGACCTTCAGGTGGTGATGGGTATAACTGGGTGGATGGGAGCAGCAATCCAACAAAACCAGATGCGCCTAATTCTTAGAAAACAACAGCAGCTAAATGATTATTTACTGGAATTCACAAGCAAATACTTCGGTGATAACGTGCAAATTGAGCAAATGATTTCAGAAATTGTTGTATGTAAAAAAAATCTTGAAAAATAATAAAAATCAAAGGTTTATAATAAAAACGTTGTATTTACATTGTAGAATTTTGCTAAAACTACCCTGGGTGGAGAACGCGGTTCATTCTATGTTGTGCACAAAGATAAAAATAATAATGTCGTAGCTGACTTATATGACGAGGCTTTAGATGCCAGCATTAACAAACTATTGAAACGGAAACGAGCTGTGAAGTATGAAATATTATACATTTTCTAAAAAGTGATTTTATTAATATATATTTCTGTAAATAGATTCAATAAAGCGCGCCATTTGGCAGCTTTAACTGCACGCGCTGGAAAAATTATAAATATTCGAGATACCAACACTGACCCAAGATTCAGCACTGATTATGATATTGTTACTGGACAAATTACTAGAACTATTCTTAGTGCCCCAATCATGACGGAAGAAAATGTACTAGGTATATCAAAAAATAACATATTAAGGAGTGTTAAGTGAAACATTCCGCTTGAAAGTAAACATCAGAACGCAGTAGCTTGGTTTTTTAAATTTAACTTGTAATAAATTATCGATTATACGATTATTAAAATATCGATACTTAGATTTAATATTATTTTATAAAATTTTAAATTTTATAAAATAATATTGCAGGAGTGATACAAGTAATGAATAAAGTGAAAAGTGAATATTTCACAAATGAAGACGAAAAGTTCATAAGTACATTTGCAACTTATTGTGCTCTTGTACTCCAGTATGCTCGAATAAACGATGCAAAAACAAAAGGGGTAGTAAAAATATTTCATTTCATAAAATTATATAAATTTATATATGTATGAATGTATATAAATGATTTTTTTCATAGGACAGCAAAAACGCTATGTATAGAGAAATGTTAACATATCATATGAGACCAACAGTTGCCGAAGTTAAGCCGTTTTTATCGCAACCATTATTACCTACCCAGCCAGAAGGAATTATGAAGTAAATTTACTAAGAATTCACTTTCTTTTACGATATTTTACGTTACAATTTTCAATATTTTATGAAAAATATTAATCCGTTATTTTAGTTTTAGTTGGTATATTAGTCCAAAAGAAACTGGGCACATGTCTCAAATTCTCTACTACATGCTAACATCAGTATGTGGCGACCGTTTCCCAAATATAAAAATGTAGCTAATTTCCTAATAATGATTAGAAAATCATATCGCGAACAACCATTCCACAATTTCGAGCATGCCTTCAATGTAACACACTGCATGTATACAATTCTTATCAGGAATTTGCAAATATTCACAGATACAGAGGTAATGTCCTAAATTAATTTGGTTCATTTAATTCATGAAGTCCTTCAATCAATATATGCATATCAACTATTTTTAGTTATTGAGTCTAATGATAAGCGCAATGTGCCATGATT